CACCTGAGCAGTGCCACAGGCTGATTGCCTCCATGCCACGCCGCATTGATGCAGTAATTCATGCAAAAGGAGCCCCTACCAAGTATTGAGTACATGTACAGTAAATTAACATACTTTCCAGAAGGCCAACAATTCACTAAAAATGTTTTTTTTTATTGGTGTTATGAAGTATTCTAATTTGTTGAGATAGTGAATTGGTGGGTTTTTGTTAAATGTGAGCCAAAATCATCACAATTAAAAGAACCAAAGACTTAAACTACTTCAGTCTGTGTGCATTGAATTTATTTAATACACGAGTTTCACAATTTGAGTTGAATTACTGAAATAAATGAACTTTTCCACAACATTCTAATTTATTGAGATGCACCTGTATATCTGCAATACTCATCTGCAATACTTATCAAAGATTATCCTGTCAGATGTTAAATAGACATTTAGTAATTGTCTTTAAGATGTATATATGGTTCATGTAAATCCACTTTTGAGACGTATGTGTACTTAATGGAGCTCCCCTGTTAGTTGTGCATTATAAAACGAGTTTTTACAGCAAAATCACAAATATGCTATATTATGTAGGTCACAGACAGGGTTTAGATTAATAGTTCAATTAGGACATTTAAGTAGCTTTTATAAATGTGCCTTGGATAAAAACACTACTGATGTGCATCTTGAGACAAAAAATATATATTTTAAGATCAGTCAGTTCAAGTTGCTTTCAGTTAAAACAGCCCAGACATGCATTTTAGTCTGGGACCAGCCTTGTCTGTGAAACTGGGGGATAGCGTCTTTACACCTTTTGCTTATATAATGCTTACATTACACCTTAGTTTTAATAGATTATTAACTCCATAAACAATACCACTGTATGAAAATAACTTACACGCTTCAATTTGAACGGTTATTTCGGGACAAAAAAAATTCTCACCTTTGTCTCTATACAAGCGGCCATCTTGCCAACAACATCTCGTTTTGACTTCTCGTATGGTTCTGTGTGATTTGGACAACTTCAAGTTAAGCCCCCTTCCAGTTACGCACCTCTCAGATTCAGATTCAAGTAGCTTTATTGGCATGGTAAAAAAGTATCTTTACATTGCCAAAGCGTAGAAACATTTAAATAGACATTTAACACAAATATACATAAGAATAGAATGATATAGCATATAGAGTCTATATATCTGTATAAAGTCAAATGAAAGTACTAATAAAGAGACAGGAGAAGGACTGGATCCTGTCATGTCAGTTTATGTGTGTTGTCCAGTGTTTTCTTCCGGCTGTGACTTGTGGTTCTGTTCTGCTGCTTGTGCTTTTATCATGGCAGGACTTGACGTACCTCGCAGCCAGGTTAGAGCTTGTTGAGGTTTCTCCCAGAATGTATGGAAGTTTGTCCTTTTGTTGTATCTGGTTGAAGTCTTTGTGCTGGTTTGTGAATTGGGGGAAGAATGTTTCCCTAATTTGTGTATAATTAGGGCATGTTGTTAAAAAGTGCAGTTCTGTTTCCACTTCATGTTGTGTGCAGTGTGGACACAATCCGTCTTCTTTTGGTAGCCAGGTCTGTCTGTGTCTGCCTGTCTCTACAGCGAGGTTATGGTCACGGAGCCTGTGCATGGTCAGGACTTTTCTTAGTTTAGGGTCTGCCACCGTGTTTAGGTATTCTGCCAATTTATATTCTCTGTTTAGAGACAGATAGCATTCTAATTTACTTTGTTGAGCTGTTGCTTCTGTCCAATGTTTCCGATATTTCTCTTTCTGTGTTTTAATGATTTGATTTAGTCTAGCTGGGGTTCTGGATTGTAAAGTCAGTTCTGAGACCAGCTGGCTGAGGGGGCTTTTCT